CGATGAGGCAACACGGATTTTTATCTTCTTGCTCTCTTTTCTCAGTATTCAGCTATCAGCGGTAGCGCTGATCGCACTCCGTATCAGATCGATGGCTTGAGACCTCGGGGTTTCAAATCTTAAGGATTTATACAACAGCCTCTTCGGTACTTTACCATGATTGACACACGTGGTTAGTTCATTGAATCGTTCGACACTTTCCACTTGCTGCACCGGAAAGGTGAGGACTTCTGGGATGTCTGCTTAATCCTGTAGCACTGCTAGCAGTTGTTCTCCGCACTCTTTACGCTCGTCGTTCAGTCATTCAATGTGGTCCTTTTTCCTGAAGAGTGTACAGTAATTCATGTTCAGATAAGAGAAATGGTGCGATTTCGCAGCCATGGCAAACGCTTATTGCCTTAGTGGTGACGTTTTCCCACAGACTCGTGCACGACCAACATTAAAACGCAATGAGACGAAATTCCTGCACGCCTTTGTTGAGAAGGATCAACACAAAGCGACACGGCCAACTGCGTTAATGGAGGCTTTTACGTCTGATATCTATTGACCGGGATAAAGTAATATCTCCCATGAGGACCCATTATTTCATTGGGAAGAGCAGACAGGTAATGTCAATATTTCGATTGTTCTCATCAGTCGCAAGCGGAACAGATACACGGAATTGTGTGGATCAGTTAACAACACCGATCAACATGTCCCTATCAAGACCAAGGTAACCTGATTGATCGCCTCAAAAGTTTTTGTGCACACAACACGGGTTGACGAGAACAAACGAAATGTTGACATATCGCAACCCGTCTTTCTGCTATGATGAAGCGGCTGAAGGGGACTCCGTGTTTCAAGTTTTTGAAAGCAATTTAAGTCCATAGTATGTATCAGAGGCACCAAGTCGCTTCAGCCGCATTAGCATCCGCTACATAAGGCGCGTAACTACCTTCCAGTTGGCTTGCGGAACTAAACTGTCAATCAGGGCAGCTAGTCCAGCTGTTTTGAAACACGAACATACTTGTGATTGTACCCGTTTCTGCAAGCTGCTCTTCCGACACGCTTTTGCTTCCAGGTTGACTTCTGATTTGGTTGTGATTAGAAATTTGTAGGTAAAAAGATCCTTTCAACTAGGATCACGTATGAAAGGGCAGAGCATACAGGATTTTCTCTTCACAAATAGCAGGAAAAAACAACACTCCAACAAAGTACTTGAAATTAAGCTATCTCGTGTCTCCTCATCATAAGTGTACAGACAGTCTGTGAAATCAGTATGTTACACACACAACAGTGAGTCAATGAGTGAGATCGTTTTGTTTAAAGAAAGCTAATCGGTAACCTCACAAGTGCAAGGCGAGCGTTATAAACTCCGTCTGCTTACATAACTTGGGTTTCGGCTGACGAATCGCTGAAGCCTCTGCAAACTGACGCAGATGAGCAGTGCTCTGTCGGTTAATGATTTTGAACGATTCCCGCGGGTGTTGGCATGTAGGGCAATCAAGGGTATGCTGGTCGATAGAGCTCGCAGGTAATTTAGGGCCTCAGAGCCACGACTTTCCGCATAACGACTGTGTACGACACAGCACTTAGAAGCTACACGGACGGATTTTGGGTTAAAATGTGAAGGGACTGCGACGAACTAGATCTAAAGTTACATTCAAATTCCCACTATTCATTAGTGAACAATCGATTAATCGCTGAAATGATGTTTATTCTTGGGAAATTCTTGTCTCCCAGACACCCCTCTTGAGACGGCATCTGTGGTGTATGACGAGAGTCTGGAATTGATTTGTAGCCTCTGCGCGATGTTCTGTGTCTCTCAGCTTTAGAAAAGCATGTTCTGTGGCCAGGATTCCTTTGTCGAATGACAGCAGTCATTCACAGGCTCCTTTGCCAATTTGAAGCTTTCTACCCACAAGTCGGACGGGAGATCGGCAGGTTTTGCTTCTTCTGGTTGGTACAGCGTTGACTGTAATTTGTTTGCATGGTAGGCCCAGATCTGCGTCCCCACCTGCTCACCATAAATGACATTTTCGCGCTTGATCTTGACCGTGCCGGGCGTCAACTTTGCGTGACCTTCCCGATAGTCACCTACTAGCACTATCTGACCCTACACATGAACGATCATTTTTTGGTCCATGCCGTGGGTTAAAATACTGTTCCAATCTGCCGTTCCTTTCATCAACAGAGTTCTGAGCGCAGTCTAATGGCATCGAAGGGCATACACAACTTTCTGTTCACCATAGCTTGTGATAGCAAAACCGTCCGGTGCATGTGGAATCGGTGTTGATGAGTACAGGAAGAAGAACTGGTCGATCACCTCTATGCGTGCCTTTTGATTTGAGGACAGGTCACTTGAACGTATCCACGATCCTCTCTCTGCCTGGCCGTTTGACTGTAGGTGAATAGGCGGTGAGTGAATGTGCTGGACGGTGCATTACGTGCCAATTTAAATTGCGTGCCGTCGATTACAAATGTCTCTGGACAGCTGAACATGCTGAAGATTTGGCGCATTCTTGATAAAGTAACATTGGCTGTTTGTCTACCCATGAGAAATACTTCACGCCATTTGCTGTAGGAATCGGCTACAATGAGGAAACTTCGGCCGTTGATCGATCCTCTCAAATCGATTTGGCTACGGTACCCTTGTTCCGTGGGTTTTGACCAGGAATGGAGCTCCATTTTTATGGCGCTTTTAGGACTTTGGAACACTTTTGGTAGCGTTTAGCCCGCTTTTGCAGATGCTAGTCTATGAAAGGGCAGTACACATGATAGCGGGTAAGCGCCTTCGTCCGGTTGATCCCAGGATGCCCAGCATGGAACTGCCGAAGTACGCGCTTTTGTAGGGCCTTAGGGATGACAACTATCCACAATGGAGAGTGGATGTCTCCTCTGGAATTACTGCTGTAGCTCGGCTAATGAACACGAACGTGGCCAACTGATTCGGTGGAACTGTGTGACCTTGAGTACTGGGTAACGAAGCGGTTCAATCTTTGCGGCTTCTGCGGTAACTGGTAGGTCGTGTGCATTACACGACCTTACCAGAAATTTGACGTCAGGTTCTATCTCGACCGAGGCGATGACTGTGATCTCGTGTTCTTGCTGATGGGAATCAATGAGTCGCGACAGTGCATCTCCATGGAAAATGTTGGCTGGTAGTAGATCTCGAAACCATACCTCCATTAAAGTGAGAGCCGATTGGCTGTGTAGGCCGGGATGCTCTTTTTCCAACCAGAGTTAACCAGCAAATGCTTGTGGTTTGTCACAAGTTTGAAGCAGCGGACGTGCAGCGTATTGTAGAATTTCTTCACAGCAAAGCATCAGCAGTGCGCATTGTACGCTTTATCGACGCCATGCTGCCACACAACCACCAACAGCTCACGTCGGCTAATGATACTGCGATGATCGCCCGGTTCCCTACGCATACTCTGACCTGTGACCTCCGGAATACGAGGCCAGCGTGTGATCATTTCGGGCACGGGTTTCTCGAAATGTCGCGTCATGCGGGCTGATATTGATTGATAGATGTCGATGGCTGATTGGTCCAGCAAAGCTGATTTAGCGATAGCAACCATCCCGCCTGGCCTTCACATGTGCATTGATAAGACTGATTGATCTATGAGAGCCAACTCGCGCACAATCGACATGTCCTTGGGTCGAGCGTCTACACGACTCAATAATGTGGACAGCATCGGGAATCTACTGGGCACAACAACGTTTTTACACCACAACATATGTTCCAGGCTGCATAGGAATCGATGATTTTGCTGAGGGATTTTGATAGGATACTGTGCGGTCTGGAACTTCGGAACAGCTTATGTGCGTAAAGGCGTTCTAACGTTAGCTTTACGTTCGAAATCTCTGAAAGGAAACACAACATCCTTCCATCCCAGCCCCCCTAAATGGTCTGTACACGATCTCGTTTGCCTATGTCGCTAATGCGCCTTATAAACTGCGTCGGATAACTGTTCGATTGTAGTGTCTCATCATCATCAGCGCAGCGCTCCTAAGTATGCTGCATCAGCTTCCATTCGATTTACCTGCCCAGGCCACTAAGGCGTTTGATGTGGTACGTGTGCCTGTGTGCTGTTTCTTGCATTTCGGGGGCTGGTTGTCGATTGATATATCCGGTGTGGCTGCGCATGATGTGAAAGTTGACAAGGCGCCTAGCTGTCTAACGCCCTCCATCTCGATTGCTGGGTCCAGGAGACTGTCGATCGTTGTTGAGTGAGACGAGGTACACCCTTCGTAATCGTGCTAGGCTCAAAGAGTGGTTTAATATAGGGTGGAGCGGATTACGGCACGCTTTTTTTACATTTACCGGCCCTTAGCCTTAAAGATCACAAGCCTGCGTTGTATTCCGAGGCCGCGGGTGGCCCTCGCAGTATCCTTAGCCCGCGTGCAGCTGGTGGTGCTTGTGCGACCTCGAAGCAATGGTACTGCGTACCGGCGTACTGCTGATGCCTTCTTTCTATTGTGTGTATCTGGTACGCGTACTTCCCAGATTAGGTAGACTGGGATGCTACTGCTGTACATGTCGAAGAAATGTGGGCCGACTCCGTTGATGAGACGCTCATTCCTTTAGGTTTACACTATATATATATATATATATATATATATATATATATATATATATATATATATCACCAATGGAACGCTCTCCCCGAATCGGTTGTTTCTGCACCTACACTAGCCATATTTAAAAGTACACTCGATGGCGCACGCAGCCACCTATATTTTTTTACTTAACACTATCTATTCATTCTACTGGAATTACCTTGGATTTATTATTTGTCGCCTGTCGGTGCTGTGAAGCTAGGCAGAGCCACTGCATTGCAAAGTATAAATCATTTCTTTTAACAGTAAAGGTTACATTTTTTATTGACCACATTAAACCACTCAAATTGCTACCTGTATTCGAAGAATAAAATTCTTGCTTACGCATTCCACGGGGCCTAGTCACCATCATCTAGGGGTCGTTTCGCAGGCTGACGCATTTATGCTTCCTATTTCAGAATCCTGACCAATTGGCCGATTGTCATTATGCTCTGCCCAAACCGAATGACGGTCTGACCGATAACGATATAAGAATACCGACTCCGCTACCCTCGGACGGACAACCGTTTCTGATTAATGTTGATGTATGTGCCTGCTTTATGCTACCTGATACTACTTATAGGATCCTCCCAAGGAAATGTCACCTGAAGGATTGCTGGAGCAGCACATTGCAAGGTGGAGAGAAATTAGGCAAAAGTAAGTCCGTCAATTCCACCTATGCTAGATTTCGGAAAAGTTGATAAACGTGTAAAATGAACCTCTAACATCCTCGGGACAGTCCGTTATCTGGGACCAGTTCAAACACTCATCGGTCTCCAAACGGCGCATGGCTTTTACAGATGGCCCATTTCCACGGCGTATAAAGCGCGCTCCATCTATCTGCTGATCCTGTCAAGTGCCGGCTTTTATTACTCAGCAAACTCGTCGACTAACTCCAGACTCCGTACTCATTATCTTTATCTTATGATGCGGCCTTACAAGATCACTGTCAATACTAACGGGTTGTTCATTCCCTACCGTTCATCCAAACTTTCTACCAAATAACCATGATTGGCGAAAAATATCCATGATTGAGACGCAGCACCGTCAGAAAAACGCTCCTGTTGCGTTGCCGCTTATCCAAACATATCTGTGAGGGTAGAAAAATCAAAAAAGCATTGACTCTACGCTGGCACACCGTACCAACCCTTCGCTGCCACGCGAGCACCAACTGTCGCCCGAGGTCGATCGCATCTACGCGGACTCGTGCCGGTGACCTCCGGGTTATAGCACAAACGTTTAATCCTGTCGATTACAGATGTGCAGTTGTGATGCGTAAAACACATCCCACATTGACATGGGAAACGAACTGAGTAGTTATGTACCAATGTCAGCGTCGGTTTGCATACAATTTTAGGAAGATTCATTGCATGCCGATCCCTGCCATACATTCCGCCGTACATCCGGAATAAAGCTGAATGCATGCTTAGTGGTAATAGGACCACTCAAATCAGTTCAGTTAAACGACTATTCCCAGGGCACTGAATTGCTGTAGATTCATGTCACGATTCGCGTCGTCAGAGAACAGAGTTAAGAAAGAATAGTGGGAAGTAATCAGAATAGAATAGTAACGGCTAGATGTGAGAATACTGCACACTACCTTTTTAGCTTGACTGTCGAAGGTCGAATGCGGGGCCCTTCTAACAAAACCCTCCCTCTGAATGAGTAGCCGCAGACCATCAGGTGTCCACACAACCGCGTCGCCAATATGGTTTCTTATCTTTTTCTTACACAACAACCTTTTTCCCACTATGTTGAACAATAAAGTACCATTTACTTCGTAACTGGTTAAATCGTTTTTCAAATCAAGGGCTTCAGTCCACGTTACTTGGTTTTTCTTTCGAAATCTGAGTCAGTCCAACGGGCTGTCTCCGAAACACGCATACCACATAACAGCGTCGTAATGACTATTCGACTCCCTAGTTCTATATTGACGGAAGCGACTACTCTTCGGGTCCTTAGCGATACTGAACCAATAACTCGTTATTTGTAGTATCGCCCTCAGGAAATCTACCCGACCGGATGCAGTAGCATGCGTAAGACTTTTAGTTTGTATCTCTATTATGGGTATTAAGCACTGTATGAAGATGAGGCGCTTTTCCGTCGCTTTTGTCTATGCCCCTGTATCGCAAAATCTCATCTCTTCTTTGCATAGCAAGAAATTCTAATTGCTGCTGAGAACATGAATGGTCGAGTGGACTCTGAACAACACCTTGGAAGTCGTTTCTCGGTTGATGCGCGGGAAATATAAGATGGCGATCGGTTTCTATAACTCGGTGCGGACCATAATATTAACACAGCTACTCTTCAACACCAACGTTCGCATCTTGTCACCTAGTGTCCTTGATGACCTGAGCCCAAATTGACCATATCGTTCATTACCATGAAGAGTCTGGTAAAAACCTTCAGATTGTTGGACAATAGCCAACTGTCTCATTCTCAGCATGTCTGCTGGAACACTGTACTTTGCTACGTCACATGAGCTGACGTGACAAGTTGATGTCACTCCTCCTACTTTGGAAGCGTTTGCCGTGTTAAAACGAAAAACGTTTTCTGGACTTGAGAACCTTCACCATTTTCTTTAAAGCGGGAGGCGATTCTGTTCACTACATCTGCCACTCTACTGAACAGCATTTAGGACACTGAAAAGATGCTTTCAGACTGGCGACTGTCAACGAAATTCATGCGAAAATCATCGATGCATTAGTCTTATTTCCACTGCCTCCTCACGGCTATTATTCTTGGATGGCTTACTTGTTCTCGTAAGAGTCAAATCATACGGGATTTCGTGGATCCGACGACCACATATTTATTCCCTATCTTATACTAGTTCAGACACATTACCAGACGACTGGATATGATGCTTTTCCTTGACTCGAAAGCCGCTTTCGACTCTGTTGATGGTGCGAGCATGTGACACTGTTTATCCTTGAAGAGAGTGCCTAGAAAACTCCTTTAGACTCTGAAGTCACTACCGTGACTCCAGAGGCTGGATAGAGGTCTACGAGAAACTGTGTTATGATTTCCCCACGGCAGGGTTGTACTTTATCTTCTTTCCTGTGATTGAAATGATCATGAAGAACTCAGTCATTTCAGACTCTACCCTAGTGGAAATTTTACTAGGTGACGAATTAACAAACATTGAGTATTTGGGCGACACAGCCCTCCTTGGACCTGACACAGCGGCTATGCAAATACTACTGCACAAACTTGTGCGTTGTGTTGCATGCTTCGGCATGTATTTTGCGCCTTTAGAGTGTAAAGTACTGTTGCAAGACTGGGCCGACACACCGGTTTTAGCTATTTTCGAACAGTCACTGAAAGTGGCGGATCGGTTCACTTACTTTGGTAACTGTGCCACTACTAGTGGTCATATCACTGAGGAGATTGCTTCGAGTATCAGCAAGGCCTGTGTGACTTTCCGGAGGCTCCACCATCAATGTAGATGGCGGATATCAGCTTGTCGGTGGAAGGTAGGGTGTACAATGCTGCGATAATGCCATTCGTATTGTATGGATCAGAGATCTGATCAATTCGCAGTGAGGTCATCAGACGATTGGCCGTATTTGACCATAGATGCTTGCGGAGTATTGCTCGCGTTTAGTGGGAACACCGGGGGAACAATGTTGAGGTCCACCAGTTGGTTTTCGGCAAAAAACTTTCTGATATCTCTTGATTGTTTGCTAAATCGTAATCGCTTACGTTGATCACCTACCTCAAATGCATTATACGCCGTGTCCGCACCAAGTTGGGCGAAAGTTCGTTGACAATCCATGGCATGGTACAAAAGCATGAAGAAATTGACGGGAGTCTTGGTCAGATTGGTACATGTTGTTTCGTGGATGAGGCTCCGGAAAGTCCATACTAAGAGTTGTAGATTGTATCAGATATGGCATAGTCGTGCGGCCATTGGCGTTCCTGTATTCGGTTTCTTGTACCATTTCATCCCGATTAGTTTAACACACTTATTTAGTTCCATTTTACGTGCTCTATTTGTCTTCTACCTCATTTTCTTACTGTGGTTGTTATTTGTTGTTATTCTGGGTAGCTGTATCATGCCGACTAGATCCGACGCGTCGGTGCCCGGATCATAGTTGTTTACCTGGGCTGAATTTGAAATTCATTTGACCAGTTTAGATGATGTACAACGGCTTTTGCGCTGCATAGAGCCTTTAACATGTGAGAGAGCAGGATTTTAAATTGCCCCCATAAGCTTACATTTTCAGTTCCGAGATGCAGTCCATGGTTCAATTAAGTTAGTGATTGTTTTTCGGAAACATCTGTGCTCCATTATGCCAGTAGCGGTGGCGCGTAACAGATAATCATCGTCATTCGCGACAAAATACATCAGCTGTAAGGGAACTTCGGTCTTCTCACTTACGTTGTCATCACAGTTCCGGTGTGCGTGATATATTCGTTCCGTAGATGATCGGGTCAATAAAACCTGCTTGTTAAATACAGCTCCGCAACATTGCGTGTTTCTGTACTTAGACGGATATTGCTCCACTTCCGATCTCCCTAACTTCCATCTTATTCCGGCTACGTTAGTCGTCTATTATAAACAAATATTACATAGACGTCTCTTTTCGATCCACAGATGGAAAGCTGCTTGCCGGGACAACGAGGAGCGTTACATGGCGTCGTATGTTATTTTGAAGGAAACTTACGACAAGTTTTGCAAAGATATTGCATAATATTACATTTGTTTGTCGCGTTTCTATCTCTTTATGTGTTTTTACTAAGACACCGCAGTAGCGTAAATTTCCCTGGTGCAGTACGCCCCTTCATGTAGGACAAAAGGTAAGCACATTAAACGATGCTACTTCGCCTCTGACTTTGTCTTCACTGTGAAAATTTGGTTTTCCGTTGATCCTAATCTTCTATATCTGCAGAAATTAGGCGGTTAAATCGCCGCAAATTGCATGAGATATGTACTTTAATTTAATCCGAGCAATACAGCCACGAGATACTTGTCGGCCGTTGGCCAAAAGGATTAAGCGCCTTTCTTGTAGCCCGGATATCCCCGGTTCGAATCCGTGTAGATGCGGGCAACTTCGCGATATGCCAGCGCAACTGCAGTTGTCGCGTGGCGGCGAAGCATAGGTACGGTGTGACGGCCTACTGATGACGCTTTTGTCACTTGCTGCAGGATAACCATCTTCTGATTTGGACCACTCAGCGTGGTCTGACAAGACCTAGTTCCTCCATTGTGAAGATCATGGGGACCATTGCCCTTTACTACCGCTGGATTACTAGTGTTGAAAGATTACCAGGCTGCACTGGCGTCAAACAATTTTAATTTTTCGTCTCGTATGCTCACACATCATCATCATTATACACATCAGCTAGATGTGGGAAAACACCTCCGCTATTGTGTCGCAATACATGAAAGATATACATGGTTGGCGGCATCCGGTTTCGGATTTGCCTGTCACTGTGGCAAGCCACAGGACGCCTGCGCCTACAGAGGGACCATGGATGGCTTGCGCTGCACCACCCACAGCTCCAACCACACACCCCATATCCAGTGTAAACCCGAAGGAATAAGACCGGGAGGCATGCGGATGGGAGCCACGTTTCATCAACGGAGCCGGCCCACACTCCTTCACAGGCAAACACAAGCACACTGTATTTGGGGAATCAAGCGCACACAAGGCGGTGGCTGACCGTAGTCCGCTCCACACTGAGTGCATGGAACCACTCTTCGAGCCTAACACGGCCACAAGGACCGTGCACCCCGTCCCCTCCAGCAACGGCCAACTGTCTCCTGGAGCCAGTATGGACGAGGTAGTGGGTAATAGACAGGTAGGCACCTTGTCAACATGCACATCAAGCGCAGCCACACCGGGGATATCAAACAACAGCCAATCACTTGAGAGAGAGAGAGAGAAAAGAGAAAAACTCGATTAATGCATAAGGAAACGGTGATATAGACCTTAATTAAATAACATATGTAATAAGTTGTTTACAAACAAATCCTAGCTAAGTGCACGAGGTCAGGAAATATAGTTCACGGAATGCCACGAACAAAAATATGCTAAGGAAATCGAATACAATTGGCTTACGCGATGTGTGCAAGTTAATGGAATAGAGTACAGGGAGATATTTGTATGAGAAAGAAAAGCATTAAGGTAAAAACTGTAAACCCACCACTTGAAATAAAGAGACTTAGCATGCAAGTACGCGGTTAGTAAATCGAATTCAGCGTGCCTACAAACGCTGCGCCGGCTCGCCGTAATTCTCTGCAGGACCCGTCGTCGCTTCTGTAGTGACCCCAAAGGGCCTAGCTCAAGTCCCACTAGACATTTATATGAGAGAGAAAGGCATTAGGACAGAACCGAAAACGCACCACCTGAAATAAAGAGACTTAGCATGCAAGCATGCGGTTAGTAAATCGAATTCAGCGTGCCTACAAACGCTGCGCCGGTGCTGCCTACGTTCACTGCGGGACCCGTCGTCGCTTCGGCAGTGGTCCCGAGTGACCTCTCTCATGGCTCACTAGGCCTGCCTGACTAAGGCACTCGCGACCGCATGTTCTACAGCACCATGCGCTCGATGTCGATGGAGTACAATTCATCGGTGCTTGCCGCTTCCGCACTTGCCGCTTCTTCTCTGCATGCATGAGGGCTTTCTCCCGCACTTCAGCAACTGCCTTCGTGATTAGATCGCGCCATGCACCACGATCAACCGCCTTCGATTCCCATGATCTGCAATCAAGATTAGAACGTGTGAGGCTCACTTTAATCATGTCCTGGTAACGTAACTTTGGTTTCCCAGCATGCCGCTTCCCTATACTCAGCTGACCGTATAAAAGTTGTTTCGGTATCCGCGCCGAATCCATACGGCTCACATGACCGAGCCATCTCAGGTGTCGCAGTAAAAGTATGCAGTCCACTGCATACATCCCACTTCGGCGCAAAACTTCCGTGTCTGCAACTCTGTCGCCCCAGCCGATCCGCAAAATTCGTCGCAGACACTGCTGATGGAACCGCTCGAGATATCGCACATCCCGACGGTACATCGTCCACGTTTCACTGCCGTATAGAAGAACGGACAGTACCATGGATTTGTACACCATCAGCTTCGTGCCAATGCTAAGCTGATGGTTGTTCCACACTCGGTACTCTAGCTTCCCGAATGCCGCCGCTGCCTTCGACACGCGAATACGCAACTCAACGTGTAGCTGCTGATCAGTCGACATCACACTCCCAAGGTAGCAGAAGCGGGAGGTGGTTTCCAATACTTCAGCACCAATGCTGATTTGCGGCAATATTGAGGATTGCACCTCTGGTGAAGGCTGAAAGAGACAGACAGTTTTGCTTGTGTTGATGGTGAGCCCGAATTTGGCCGCTGTCGAAGCCAGAGCACTAGTCATGTGCTGCAACTCATCCGGGCTGTGTGAAAACAACGCACAGTCGTCAGCAAACAGCAACATACGGATAGTTGTCTCACAGACTAGAGTTCTCGCACCGAAACGACGGATGTTCAGCAACCCACCATCAATATGGTGCTCCACACGAACACCCTAAGCACAAGCGGCATCAAAAGCACAAGACAACATTGCATGAAGATAGATATTAAACAGGGCAGGAGCTAAGACACAGCCTTGCTTCACACCAGAGACAACTGCAAAGTCATCCGAGGTCTCTCCACTCAGCTGCACCCGCGCTCGCATACCACTGTGCAGACATTCAATTAAGCTTACAAACTTACACGGGCAACCAAACTTACCCAACACCAGCCACAATGCCTCGCGGTTCACCGTATCAAATGCTTTGGTGAAATCAACAAAAAGCGAGTACAATGGCTGGTGTCGTTCTCTGCACTTCTCCTGCAACTGACGAGCCGCAAACACCATATCTAAAGTGCTGCGACCCGAACCGAATCCACATTGCTCTTCCGCCACGTTAGGTTCCACAACCTGACTGACGAGACGGTTGAGCAGGATTCGGGCAATCACTTTGCCCACACAACTCAGCAAGTTGATGCCACGATAATTCGTGCAACATTGCTTGCTACCTTTGCCCTTGTACAGTGGTAGCACAAGGGCATCCTTCAGCTCAGCAGGCACCTTCTCCTCAATCCACACGCGTTGCACCAAGTGGTGCAGCGCAGCCAACAACGCGGGTCCACCGTGTTTCAATACTTCAGGTGGGATCCCGTCACCTCCGGCACATTTGCCGTTTCGCAGCTGAGCAAGTGCTCTCTGCGTCTCATCCAGTGTCGGCGTATCCGCCAGATCCGCCTTCACATCGTGCTGCTTCAGGCCGTTCAATGTAGGCCAGTCGATCTCTGAACGGTTGTTCAAGAGACAGTCAAAGTGTTTCCGCCAGTTCTGCATTATGTCTGCAGTCTGGGTGCAGGTAGCGCCTGAACTACCATCGATCAGTGTCCTCAGCGGCTCCAATCTCGGTCCATACACCGCCTTCAAGGAGTCAAAGAATTCCTTGTGTTGGCGGCGTTCGGCGTAGCATTCCATCTGCTTCGCCTTCTCCGTCCACCATGCATTTTTAATGCGACGGAGCTCTCGGGTCAGTCGCCGTCGAAGTTTGCGAAACTGACTACTCTTCCCCAAGTCACTGGGGTCTGCGACGTGTGCAGCAAATGCTGCATTCTTCTCTGACACCAATGCGTCAATCGTCACATTGTTGTCATCAAACCAATCAGGCCGCTTACAGTTTGCTCGCCGATGGTCTCCTCCGCAGCAGCTGTCACCCGGTCGCGAATGTGGTGCCACAGGTCGCCCACTGTGGCTATACAGTCCACATCACCACACAGGCGTGCAGCCATCGCCTTCTCCAGCTCAGTACGTTTCGCCACAGTACCGAGGGAGAGAATGGTAAATTTACGCCGATTCACGGCGGGAGTGCAATACATCGATTTACGAAAATATATGTACAGTTTGGTCCGAACCTATTTGTGATCAGTGCCACACTCAGCTCCACGCAGTACACGTGTCATACGCACTTCACGCATATCACGCTGACGTACGATGACATAGTCGAGCAGGTGAGCGTGACCACTCCGTGGATGCGTCCAAGTTGCTATATCACTCGCACTCAGTGCAAACCGAATATATGATTGGCGGCATCCGGTTTCGGATTTGCCTGTCACTGTGGCAAGCCACAGGACGCCTGCGCCTACAGAGGGACCATGGATGGCTTGCGCTGCACCACCCACAGCTCCAACCACATACCCCATATCCATTGTAAACCCGAAGGAATAAGACCGGGAGGCATGCGGATGGGAACCACGTTTCATCAACGGAGCCGGCCCACACTCCTTCACAGGCAAACACAAGCACGCTGTATTTGGGGAATCAGCGCACACAAGGCGGTGGCTGGACCGTAGTCCGCTCCACACTGAGTGCATGGAACCGCTCTTTGAGCCTAGCACGGCCACAAGAACCGTGCACCCCGTCCCCTCCAGCAACGGCCAACTGTCTCCTGGAGCCAGTATGGACGAGGTAGTGGGTAATAGACAGGTAGGCACCTTGTCAACGTACACATCAAGCGCAACCACACCAGGGATATCAAACAACAGCCATTCACTTTAAACGACAAGCTGAAATAAAATAAATCCAATAATGCATACAGATACGGTGGCATAACTCTTCGCTAAATTACCATATGAAGTAAGTTGGTCAGCAAAAAATCCGTGATAAGTAAGAAATGTCCACAAGTTACTTAAAATGCTACAAACGCAACGAAATTACCGAAGATAAGCGCAATTAGTGTAAGCAACGTGGCCAGTTAATAGAACATTATTCAGGGAGGCAGAACAAACCAAATAAAGCGGAATGAAATTTATCCAGCTTAAAAAGACTTAGTTTAAGTGTAAGTTGATTTAGCCCAACTGCGGTGAAGAAGCATTAAGAATGCAACATCAGCCTCAGCATACAAACATACATACATATAACACAATACACAGGAAAAAAAGATACAACAGTTGCATACCAGCTGAGCTACCAGCAACGGATAGGCATCTTTCCGGTAAGCTTCCAGCCAGCTACTAGGCAAAAAGAAAATTTAAAAAAAAATTATGCTTTACCCTAGTAAATGAGATCGTGGATGGAGGGGGAGACTAAAAAGGATGGGGAGGGACAAAGAAACTCACAGCAGGAACGCCACTGAGGTCGGCTCCTTGCTATGTCAGCAAGTGTATCCAGCCAAACGTGTTCACCGTCTTTTGGACCCCAACCAGGAAGCCGTGAAGCTCCAACCGAGGCCAGCTCCGAAGTGATGGACTTCATTCCTCTGGACCAAGTCATCGCTTGGCCACCTCTCCTCTTCTTCCACCCACATCCCCGGTGAGCAAACAACGCACGTCGCGGGAGTCGGTGGGCTGGCATGCGTAACACGTGGCCGAGCCATCGGAGCCTGGTGCGGGAAATAACGGTGCTGAGCGGTTCAGATCCTTTTCCTGGGCCGTAAACAATGCGTCGAACACGCTCGTTACTCACGCGGTGTTCCCACCAGATGTGAGCCAAACTGCGAAGGCACCGATGGTCGAACGTAGCTAGCCTCTTCAAGTCCGCCGACCTTAGGGGCCAGGTTTCGCAACCGTACAGTAAGGTCGAACGTACCGCTGCATTGTACACTCTACCCTTCAGGGCGAGAGTGATGTCGCGCCGCCGCCATAGGTGGCGAAGGTTAGCAAAAGCACTCCGAGCTTTCGCTATACAGTTCGTGATCTCGTCTTCGATCCCAAGGGCGCTGATACAACTTCCCAGGTAATTGAATTTCTGAACGACTTCTAGCTGATCCCCACCAAGGGTCAGCGCAGGAGGCGATCCCTGCCAATCTTGGAGGAACGCTTTGCACTTCGGTGGTGCAAAGCAAAGCCCGAAGCGGCTGACAGCCAGTGCTAATCTGTCCAGCGCGGCTTGGCACGTCTGGGAGCTGTCACAGATGAGGGCAATGTCATCTGCATACTCCAAGTCACGAATACGTTCTCCTGGGAGTAGCTCCACACCTTCCAAGTCATGTCCTGTAAATGCAAACTCCATGACTTCGTCAATAGCGAAGTTGAAGAGGAAAGGTGACAGCGGGCATCCTTGTCTCACACCGCTGGAGATATTAAAGAGTGGCGACAGCTTGCCGTAAGCCCTCACTCTGCCCGTGCTACGCGCATATAATGCTTGGATAATATTTACATATTTCTCGGGCACACCTTTCCTGAGTAGACAATTCCAAAGGGCACATCGATCAACCGAATCGAAGGCACCTTTGATGTCGAGGAACACGACAACGGTGGGCCGCCAATATGTGTGGCGGTGCTCCAACAACTGACGCAAGGTGAAGATGTGGTCGATGCAGCCACGACCCCGACGAAACCCGGCTTGCTCCTCACGAATCTGGTTTCCACGGGCGCCAGCCAGTTTGTGACGGATTACGTAGACAAGTAATTTGGAGGCGATGGAGATCAGACTGATTCCTCTATGGTTGCCGCATTCCGAGCGCTAGCCGCCTTTGAAGATGGGAACAATAACGGAGCGGCTCCAGTCGGTTGGGACAGTCTCCTGCTCCCACAGTTTCACTAGTAATTCATGTAAAGCATCAACAAGAGCAGAGCCTCTGAATTTGAAGAGGGCAGGGGGAAGATCATCTAGTCCCGCGGCTTTGTTCAAATTCAACAGTCCGATCTCACGTTCGACTTCTGAGCGAGAGGGTGGATCCAAAGGGACAGCCCAGGGAGCAGGGCGATCACTCGCCGGCGAAGAATCGAACAATTCTAGCCGATTAAATTGCTTTTCAAATTGCTCAGCCCAACGCTCCAAACGTTTTGACAAATTGTGAATAGGCTGTCCACTCTCATCACAAATTGTTTCGCTAACACCAGGCCTGCTGGCCGTTTCCCGTATTAGACGGAGTAACTTATGATGGTTGCCAAGGGCAGCGGCCACTTCCATCTCTGACGCACGATGAGACCACCAAGATTCGCGGTCTCTCTTCAGGCTAGTGCGGAGTTTTGCCCGGAGCTCTTTGCGAGTTTCATTGTGCTCGCTTCCAGCCTAGATATGTCGGCGAGCGTCGATAAGTTCCAGAGACCGAGAAGAGACCCAATGTCCATGTTGGCATTTAGACAAACCACATGAGGATTTGCCCGCTGCTAGTAAGGTCTGGCGAACATGTGACCAGTGACCATCAATTGTCTCCAGTGAGCGATTGTTCAACTCGCATGTCAGCGTACGCATTCAGAACAGCCGGCTTTGTCAGCTGGCTGGTGTCAATGCGATCACAGCGTCGTCGTGGGCGTCCGCGAAAGTGCATCCGCACGTCAGCACATACAAGTGCATGATCGGTGTCCACACATGTGCTCCAAACCGAGCGACAATTCTGGATGCAGCCTCTCCAGCGGTAACTAATAGCAATGTGATCGATCTGCGTCCAAGGCTGGTTCGGGGCTGGTGGGCGCCAAGTCACCCTCCGGCGGTTGCTGTGTCGGAGATTAGTGCTCACAAGAAAAAAGCGAGCATGTTCACACAAATGAAGTAACCGCTCACCGTTATCATTACTGGAGCCTACACCGTGCTGACCGCCCAGATGCATTTCATCAGTGGACAACTTTCCAACTTATGCGTTCATATCCCCCGCCAACACAACAGTGTCCGTGCTTCTTCTGTGGCGAAGGAGCTGGGTCAGTTGGCGGTAGAAGTCGTTCTTTACCGAATCATCGCTACAGTTTGTGGGCGCGTAGGCAGCGATGATGAATAGACATCTATTAGTCCCGCGCGACTTCGAAGCTTTAAACGAGCCAGCCAATCGGACCGCACACATCCGGCTATTGATTGGAATCCAATCAACCAGAGCAGCTTCAGCCCGGGGACTCAGGGCAATGCCAACACCAGCTTGGCCGGTGCTCGAAGCTTCATCGTCACCGGAAAGACGCAATGAGAAAATACTGTTTGCGTCACCTAAGGGGATCGCAGAGTGAGCACAGAGCTCGAGTCTTGCAGGTGGGTCTCCGATAAACAGTGGATATCGGTTGAGAGGGTCTCCAATGTTCGGGCAAGTGCTGCCTGTTGACCGATTTGTAGCAGTGTGCGTACATTGAGGCATGCCAATCTGGAGGAGGATCGAGGGCTCCAAATGGAAGCCGATGAACTGGAATGTACCGCTTGGTTAGACATGGGCTTGTCAACAGGAGAGTAGTGACGCTCCGCGTTCACATGTGAGTTGAAATTAGAAGATAAATGCCTAGCAACGCATGTTGGAGGAGGGCCAAGAATCGGGGGGTTGAAAACTGGGGGGATATAAGTGAAGTTGGAAGGCGACGGTAAGTGTGAAAAAGCGTAGATGGGGAATAAGAAGACGGGAAGGCTTGAGCAGTAGCATCCAAACCCCTATCCACCCTGCTCGATGCAGCAGATAGGGCACCGTTGATTATCCTCTGCGGTGGCCAGAGCATCAGCAATTTGTTTGAGATAATATTCATGGTATTGCGTGGGCAGGATACTGTCAGGTTGCCCAGGCCTAGACAGGAGAACGATTAGGGTTCTCAACCAAAGCCTTTGGTTCAAAAACCTGACCGCAAGGCAGCGGGTTTGGCGTTGAGCTACAAGGAGTCCGTTTTAAGGAATAAGCTGCCACCCTCATTCCAATCCCCAACCTGGAGGCTGAGTTTGTCTGGCCTCTAACCATTGACCAATCTGGTATGAGTGACTCTGAAGGTGCAAAACCACCACCCAACATAGCTCAATGGATCGCTGAGGCATACAAACCATCGCACCACGGTAAGGTCCAGCCTCATTGCGATGGATGCTCACACAAGGCCATTGCAAAAACAATACGTGCAACTCTTCAATGTTTGCAGATTTGCACGTCAGATACTCGTAACTTGAAACGATTTTCAAAGCCATCAACTTGGAATTTACGCGTTTATATAGACAGACCGTGCATTTCCGATTTACCAGAGGAATCATAACGCTTCCCGTTTCACTCTTAGGCCCGGAGATCTGATACTATTCCAAGAGGGGCTTCGTCGCACGAGCCCAAGTGAAAGCAAGAGGATCTCGCGTTGCCGTCATTTGTAATGTTTGACTCGATGGGTAACGAGAATACCGAGACACCCTTTTGTCGCAGAACATTTGTTAGCGATACCAAGAAAGATGCAGCGTGTTCCGGACAAGTGTAGCTACGCAGTTATCGCAGATAACCATACGATGTTTTCAACTAACAACGATGATAACCCAACTGTGCTTTGCAAATGACCGTCTGGCACTATGGAACTCAATCGATAACCAGGGTGCATAAGAGAGAAACAAGTACTTTGTGTTGAAAGGTGTTATATTGCACGAAACAGGTAAAATGGCTCAAATATGGGAGTTCGGTTTAAATTTACCGCGATGCACACAAGGTAATCGGAAACTACGCGCCACATATCTCAGCATTCATATTGCATTTTAACTTCACGTTGAGCAGTAAGGCAGGCACACCGTCGATAATAAGCAAATGCTTTGATTCAAGTGTGTAATTGGCTGTGTTGAGGCCGCCATTACCAGAGGAAAGGATATTTCTCTGATGAAAGAGGGTTGCAAAAGAGCCAAAAGCTGACGTTTGAGAAAAGCACAATTCAGGGTGGATGTTCGAAGCTAATGCACGTCACAAATGTCTGTTTTAGCAAAATGCATTAGGGTCGCAGCATCCGGCGGACTGTGGTTTGATGGGTGCCATGTTGATACAACTCGAAGCTGCCCGAAATACGCTCAAGGACAGCGGCGAGGGACGTAACGACTTAAGACTGTCAAAGCGCACCTGACGTATGACGGGCGGCGTAATCTCGTGGATTAGGTAGCAATCGAATTGTCGAACAAGCGATCATTGGGAAAAGAAAAAGATGCTGTTTTATGTAAGGTTGTGTTTTGGCCACCCTAACTATTACGTGAAGATCATATAGAAGTGTGGTGAGGAAATGGAACTGGACGACTCATTTCTGGAAGCTGTACACGAATTATGCCGAGTGTCCTGTGTCCCACTGTATAATCGACACTGTCCCATAGACAGACATGTCGATTTCAGCCTGACCACTCATGTACTCCATGTGATTCATGATACTATCTGAACGAAGGCGGAAGGCCACGGTATCGATCCCCGAGGACTGTCTAAAGATCAACTGTACTTCGCTCGAGTTGATCATAACTTTTAAGTCTGCGCAGTTCAGTAACAACAATTGCTGATAGTGACAGCTGTTATCTAAAGATAGGAATCCAAAACAGTTGTCTTGCCGTGAATGAAATGTTAAGCGAAGCTAAACAGTCCAGCGGAAATAATCTGCAGGACAGCAACAAATGAAATTAGTCGAAAATACACTGTTGATGGAAACAAGTTTGGGTAACTGATCTGAACTGTAAGTGACTTAATAACGCATATGTACCCTATATACAGCGAATAACGACGGCAGATGTAGATTTCGTCACTTTGTAGGGAACTTCGCGCGGATAGGTGTTGAGTGTTCAATATGACAGAACGAACACCATTAGGGTCCGTGACTAACACCATTGAGATATAGGTATTATGGCCACAAAATGAGGAAGACATAATTGGCCAGTTTCTCATGATGCAACTTACAATCTCGGGGTGATAATAAGTAGCTGTGTCCCGGAAATGCTTCTTTTCGTCGTGGATGATACGGAAAGCATTCATTCCGAGCACGACTCCAACAGGATTAGAAATCTAAAATGAAAGAAATGTGGGAAAACGTAGAAAAACAATACAGAAGTTAGCCAGCTGAATATTCCAACAGAAGCGCTGTAACTAAAGATCTGCGGGAGACACACAAAAGGTGATGATCAGTTTTAACAACATTTCGTAGGCCTGAAGGTTATAGTGGTTTAGAAGCACAGACCTACCTTTAGACCAGAACGTAAAACTCGCAGGCGAAATTCGTCATCCTCTAAACCCCAACCCCAAAATGAGTTAGAGAACCCATTCAGTCGATTGAAGATTTCCCGCCGAAGGATAACAGCACCTCCAAAGTAGGTCTTCAGGCGTTTATACCGTGGATGTAGCCACTTTGGAATGAGATGGTATGGTCCTGTGGCGGACGGCCAAGAGTACTGAAGCGCCTTGTCCATGGGCAACAGATCGACGTCATGAAAAACGAGATAGTCCGTCGGTGGGGGACATAGACGCTTTGATTCGCTCGGGATGGAGTCCTCAATTTGTGTAACGTAATCCACTGCAACGCCTTGTGATTCCAACCTGGACGATTCCAGTGCGCCAACATTCAACAAGGCTGCTCTGTTAAACCTAAAAGAAGTACGATCAATGAGTAACTGACGGCGGGCGTTGTTCGCACTAATCAGAAAATGGTCCCGAGTCGCAAACCTTGTGTTGCGTGTTTGAACAGTCACTGAGCGAGGTAAGGGCGTATAAAATGAAGACAAAGGTAGAAAGACAAAACAAAACAGATTGAAACTCAACTTTGCAACTGTCTTAAACGGCTTCGAAAGGATGGTTACATCGACGAAGCCACTTATGAACAACTTCGGCCGGTAGGAACGGTTATTCCAAGGCTATATGGGCTACCAAAAACTCACAAGTCTAACGTCCCCCTTCGTCCCGTCTTGGATATGAAAAGCTCCCCATATCACTCGATTGATCGGTGGCTGGTTTTGATTCTTACGCCTATTCGAGAGCGAATTGTTGTGCATAGTGTGAAGGATAGTTTTGAGTTTGTGGATATCGTGCGTGATGTAAATGTTTCCAATTTAACCATGTGCTCCCTCGACGTTACTTCACTCTTCACCAACGTACCATTAGTTGAGACTATAAACTACATCTGTGAGTATGTTGATGCAAACCACATTAATGTTGGCATGCCCACGGTGATCCTAAAGGAACTATTGCTCAGATGCACGTTCAATGTTCAGTTTCTATGCAACGGCGAATTATACCGACAGTGCGATGGGATCCCCACTGGGTCCGTTCCTTGCCGATGTCTTCATGGGCATGCTGGAGCAGGGAAAGCTAAAGCAAACGATCTCAAGTCTCGGTTTATATTGCCGTTACTTGGACGACATTTTTGTCTTGCTTCAGTCGTCTCGAAGTATCGAGGAACTAACAAACACGTTCAACCAAGGCCATCCAGCAATAAAGTTCACCTGCGAAGTTGAGGAAAACAGTCGCTTTCATATCCTCGGTGTCACCATGAAAAGACTGGATGGGGGTGCGCTACAGCGCTGCGTCTATAGGAAAAGTACGTGGAATGGGCAGTACACAAACTTCTACAGCTTCGTGCCACTTAGGTTTAAACGAAACTTGATAAATTCCCTAGTGAGCCGAGCTGAACATATCTGCTCGAATGACATGCTTGCGAAATAACTAGAGTGAATTCGCTTAGTGCTAAAGGAGAACGGCTATCCGGAAAGCTTCATCAGAGCCAACATGGAACATAAGAAGAAAACGCCTGTAGTTTTGACAGTAGAACGTAAGCCAATCTTCCTACAGCTGCCATACAAGGGCGAGGTTCGACGGAACTTCTATCTCGTCGTCTTTCATTTGCATTCAGACGCACCTATCCAGCAACGCAGATGCAAACCCGCTTCACTAGCATTCCGATGATGAGACTAAACTCAAGGGACAAGAGGCCTGTCCACACCAATTCAATGTGTATCTACTCGTTTTCATGCTCCTGTGGAGCGGAATACATTGATCGAACGATACGGCGTCTATCTGAGAGAAGGAAGGAGCACCATCCAGTCGGGCTTAGAACTGGAAGTGGAAATACAGCGAACTCTTCAATAGTCGCACACCTAGCCGATACAGGGCACTCCACAAAGCTTACTGATTCGTTCAAACTTATCTATCAAGCCCCAAAGCACCGCTCGAACTACGTCCGCAAGCGACTACTAGAAGCCGCTGAAGCAATTGCGATCCGGCTGTATGAACCGGAGCCATGTGTTCAGAAGAAGCTAACTAAAGGCTTGGCACTACCCTGGCCCAAACGGCCGGTGACCTCTGACCCACGAGGTCACACGCGGTCGATTGTTGTGGCTTAACAGACAGCACTGTCAGCATCCAATTAACTCGCTCCAGTAGTAACGACTTTTAATGTCTATCTGCACATTTTGATTTGCATATAATTGTATAAGCCTGAAGATGAATTATCGAAAACATACGTTCGCTTACCATGACTTCTGATCATACTATGGGATATTTTAAAACTGTGAAGGCGAAGTATTTGTTTGCACGTAATCCAAAGAACACCTGTGGGAGTAGGTGGTTCCCTGTCGTGTTAGTCAAATTCAAGATGAGTGGTACATTTTCGGAATTTACACTACCAAAACGGATGGAAAATAATATCAATAAAAAAACAAGCGTGGAGTGAAATAAAATGTATAGCAAACTCTTCGTATAGCATGTTTATGATTTTCGTTGGGTTAACGCGCAAACGTAACACAAGGTAACAGAGTGTTACGATATGGCGAAGTTCGGGAAAATAAAATAGTCACGCAAAAACTGCACACATTCGAGTGAACTCCGTTCTCGGAAAGCAGACTAGGCAACAATTATCTGCATAGGTTTCCAAAGGCCTTTGAATAATCAAGGGAAAGCCGTACGGATTTACAACTTTGACTTAGTGCAGACGCCATGTATTAAACAATGCATGCTATTACATCCACTGTACATCGTTGGGGAATTTATAGATAGCGTCAGTATGTTGCTGTGAAAATCCACGACGAGACTGAATCTTTAAGTAGTGCGATGGTTTGCGAACCTCCGTTGCCCACTGAGCCGCGCTGGGGTCACTTTCCAAGTGTCTTCAGAACCACTCATACAAGACAGGTCGCTGATTACGGGTCAGAACAACTCAATCACACGATACAGTGCTCTTCGGAGGTTAGGAAGAGGTCAATGGCCTTCTTCCCTTGAGGGAGACATCATGATTACGGGTTAGAAGCTCATCGCCCAAATGGCGTGGTGCACAAGCGACATGCTTTGTCTTAGACTGTTGGAGGACACCACCCAGTGCGCATTGGTGTGCCACCGCCCGCCTTAAGCCAGACAGCCCTAGGTCGAATTGGTGCAAACCCACCTGCGGCTGGCCGTGGTCGCAGATTCGTAACATGATTGGCGGCATCCGGGTTTGCCCGTCATTACAGCCTCCGTAGGACAACCGCAAGGCGCCTGCACAAACAAAGAGACCATGGGTGGTTTGCGCTGCATCATCCACAGTTCTATTCAATCCATACCGCCGGCCCGTGTGAGAAAATTGGCTCTGCTGCATATGACAAGACACCATGGTAAAACGCACTAGTTGGAGCTACTCTAAGGAGTCCCTTTCGTATGGAAAAATGCACTTGATTCATGCAAAGGGCGTCCAACTGCAAGTTTTGTCTGGTTGAAAGTCACTGAAGTTATCGAGACATGTCCACAGGAATGTTGTGCCCTTCTAACCAAAGTCGCCAGCAATACTACAAATAGAGCAATCTAGTTGCAGTAGTAGCTTGGTCCTCAGAACGCTACAAACCTGTCGCAGATGTCAGGAGGAATGTAGACGTTTTCTGCGATGACCGATTGAAATCCACTTAAAAAGTTTGATTTGCGTTCGATTAAATGGAAGCTTGTAGAGGTCGTTGAGTACGTGAATAGTACGGTTGCTTGACTGCACTTGCGTTGGTTAACGTGTGATAAGGCCTCACCACAAAACTGGAACTTTCCAGGGTGGCCAAACCCGATGGGAAAATAGCCACCGAGCTGAATAACTCTATTTCGCACACCAGTAAACAACCAACTTTTAACAGTACCGTGATGGGACATAAAGCAATAGCTTTCCAAGACCAACGATATGGCAAGTGCAAGAGAAAATCAAAATGTTCCGGGGTGGAACGTGAAGTATTAGTACAAGATATGGCACTTTATCATACTGATGTGTGGCGTTTACTTTGATGAAATTCTATTATTCTTTGGATGTCGCAACGGTGTGCTGGTATTGCATCCCGGTGTGAACACATCTAAGAAACTGAAAAATTCCTACAAACCAAACGGGAGTGTTAAGTTACAAAGTTTCATATCTTGGCCACAGCATCGCACGTAAGGAACTAAGGTGTCCGGGAGAAAATAAGCATTCCCCGTAAAATCCATTATTTCAGAGACTAATCGACTGCTATCGATTTCGAAAGTTCTGGGATATTCCAGTGTCTGCACTTGACTAGCAACCTCCTGAAGATCGACCAAAACTATGGGGAACAACTAAGCTTAGTGGTTGACCCTCCTATTCCAGAAGTCGAAAGTCACTAAGAGACCTATAAATACAGCCAAGACCCGCTGCATTTGTATAGTGTTTTGTTGACGGCGGTTAATACGTTGTTCTGTCAAGGTCGTTGGCGTTCTGCTTTTATTTTCAGTTGGGCTAGTTTTGTGAAGTAGTAAAGTGCCTATTTCGGAATCGCGTCTAGTGAGAATAGTATAACTCAAGGTCAGTAGTGAATTAAACGCAGGACAGCTTTCTGGTAGAATCCCGGATGTGAAAGTGAGATCTTCGCGAAGCAGTCAGTATTCTGAGGAGAATATACCGACTAAACAAAGGCATAGTTAATAATTGAGAACAGTTAGTCCAAGTGTTGCCTTGGTAACTCTTCTTTGCGGGTGTTCCGTGAGACAAATGTCTCGTTTTAACCATTGACGTCGTGCCCGTACCGCATATTCAACATAGGGACGAATTTGCGAGTTAATCATCAGCGGTACTAGTTATCGTTTACAGGTATAAAGAGCTCACCACAAAAGACTTGTGTTCTGATTCGTCACAGTTACTACTTGAGTGAATCACAGGTAAAGCTGAGATCTTCAGCAAAGCAAATATTCCCATTTCAGTGATAAAATTAAGACCAATTGAGTACTGGGTTAAGAATCCACTTAGAGTAAACTCTCATCGGACGCAAACTACGAGGCGGAGGGTGGGTTTTTGTTAGCGTCAAATCGGGCTGGGAATTTGATTTCTGAGTTGCTTAAACAGGCAAGTCGATAGCGTAGGGCTAGTGTATAAAGGTAACAAGTTGGTCTCGTAATCTTGCGGCGCGGGTTCGAAGCCGCGTAGAGGTGGGCGGTATACTCAGCCCGCGTGCCACTGGTGGTGGTCGCACGGCAGCGAAGCGTCGTACATTGTACAGCTGACACATCATCATCATCATCAGGCTATAGATGGTAGGCAAAGTGAAGGAGAAAAGTAGCACATAATAACCCGACAATACAGTAATTAGCTCAAGTGACAGGCAAACAGTTAGATAACATTGTGCGTAATAAAGGAT